TTCCTTCACACAGGCTCAGAGCTGACATCTATGTTTCAATCTCCCAGCAAGCATACGGCCTAGTCAATACCTGATGCCTGATGTATTTTAACATTCCAGAGTCCTTCTTCCCTTCCAAGTTGATATCGATCACTCTCTTTTTCAGAGAGGGAGTTCTCAAGCATGACTTGTCTGAGCACTAGGAAAAAAAAAAAAAAAAAAAGAGTTCAGATTTAGGTTACCCAGAATTTGGAAAGGGAGGAAACAGTGTACAAGAGGAATTTCCACAGACTCGAAGCTACTAGTAGCAGAGGTGTAGCATAAAGCCTTCTCTTGCAACAGGCCTAGCACCACAGTGAGGTATCTCACCAATTTTACTTTTTTTTAATATTGCTTTTCCCAATAAAAGACTAGGGCAGAGGCCAATAAACCAAATGAAGAATGTGAATGTGCATTGTGTAATCTTCAGAGATGGCACAGATATGCATTTTAGGAGAACAGTGCAGTTAGGGTTACAGAGTCCACAGCTTCCTTCTCAAAAACCACTGAATCAAGATGTTTGCTGTGTACAACACTGATTTGTCTCAGCTACATTTTTCCTCTCTTCTTTCTCAGAAAACATAGGTGACAATACCTTTCAGGAACTGAGCTTATGCCTGCCAGAGAGAGCAGATCCAAACAGACTGCCATCCATTGAATTGACAGTGACAAGTCCTGCTTGTGTTCATTATCCACAGTACCAGGGATTTTTTCCTCGTGTTCTAGGTTGCCATAGGTTCTTCCCCTCAAGCTGACAGCTTGCTATTTAACACCAGGTCTCTGCGATCAGGAGATTCACAAAACCCAAGGGTGCACACAACCACTTCTGCATACTGCAGCTACCTCCAGCCTTCCATACTGCAAACTGTAAGAGTAAAAATGAGGTTCCTCTGGAACCCACATAAGTGTGAAAATGGTGCCCAGGTAGCCAGAGAATGACAGCATTTGAAGAACAAAGAAACATGAGGAACACAGGGAAAAAATCTACGGTTAGATGTTATCAATTTCTCCTCTACAGTGAGGTTTGCACAAACATAGAACATGTGTTTGTAGGAAACTTTATTGCCTCCTGACTTCTTTTTTTCCTGGTTGTTTGACAGCCTTGATGGTTTGATGGATCATGAAACACGCATCACTTCGCTTTGCAATTCAGAGCTGGTGATGAAACAGCATGCAAGAATGCACACTATTCTTTTGCTACCTTTCATGAACACTGCCAGCTGCTCTTCTCAAGCCTGCCTTCTGCAGGGCAAACGCCTGCCTCTTTTCCTAAAAATCCAGAGTGATACATTGCTTTTCCGTGCCAGAGGAACTATATGGCAAATGCTGTTTCCAGGAAGCAAAGTCATTACCTGTTGTTTTATCTGCTCTATACTTTGTTCCATATAAACATTCTTCAATTTTCTAACTTGACAGGAAACAAACAATCTACTGGCTGATGAAGAAACATTATGAACCTGTCTCGTACTCCTTCATCTTCCACTTCTAGAGATGATAGACTCTTTACCCAACTGAAATCTTGAAGAGGGTCTCACAAACATTTTTCCTTCAGTGTTATTGCTAAATATTTGAATGACTCCACCATGATAAGCATTCAGAATAACTGTAGCCTGTCTGCTGGGATCAGGAATACAGAAGTATTAACCAGCAGTTGTCATGATCAGCTTGCTATCTCTTTAGTTGCTTTATTGAAAGCAGAAAAGTATTTCCACCGAAGTTAAAGGGACCACTCATATGGCTAAAAAGGTATAATCTTGTCCGAATATCTCCCGGAACTAGTTACTAAAAGTGTGTCACTAAAGAGAGCGCACCATTAAAACAGCAGCTATCGTATGTAATTCTTAGAACAGATCTGGGAGCTGACACCTAAAAGAAAGAAATTATGCAAAAGTTTACAAAAAGTTCAAGAATAATTTTATTAATGGACAAGAAAGAACACAGGAAGAAAGAGACTAGACTCTAGGGGCTGATAAGTAGAGGCCATAAAAGAACATTAAAACTAAGGTCAGGCTTTAGGCTTTTAAATGTCCTTATCAGTACCCAAGATTATTCTAAATCAATACAGATTACATTCCTTCCGTAATACTAAATGACTTAATAGTTTCTTACAGCAGAGCTGCATTTGTGAAGTACTGTGTTCCATTTGCCATGAAAGAACCCTGCTTGGGTACATTACTCAGTCCTTGACGGTAATTATGCCCTGCCTGGACAAAAACCAAAACATTCTGGTTTTTTTTTCCCATCTACTCACCTCCTTTTGCTTTTTGCCTCTTGCGACACTGTTCAACGTGCTGTTTTCTCGGAGAGAGTCCACTGTGTCTCCATACAGGAGTTTGATGGCCCGGACAAGGCGAGCACAGGACCGGCTGTGATGGAGGTAGCAGTGGGGGTGACAGTAGTCGATGTGGGTACATATGAAACTTTGCTGGTTGCACAACAGGATCATAACCTTGAAAGGAAAAAAAAAAAAACCCAAAAAAGGAGAGTTACCTACAGAAATGGGAGTTAGCAAAAACTACGCAGGGTAGCCAGTGACAGGGACAGTCAAGCTAACTTTTCCACAGCTTAGCTGGGAAGGCATGGAGCTCAACATGGCTTTTTGAAAAGGTGTGGGTGGCTGTCCTGAGCTCCGTACTTGCAAGCAGTTTACAAACGTGCTAGGCTTTGCTAAAGAAACATCAATGCTAACAAAGCAGTCAGAGCTGCTGTAGATTTGTATGGTCGGCTGACGGCAAGACTAAGGCTGTGGGAAACAGTATTCCCTCAGTTTGCAGAAAAGCTGTTGTATCCCCAGCTCTGAGACAATGGCTTAGACTGGAAATTGTCAGCTCCTCAATCATCATTAGCAAGTAGCAAACCCAACCAGGTTCTGGAGTTAGCTTGCTCTACTGAAAGGGAATAGAAATATCCTGATGTACTCACAAGTAGGAATAAGCTGTGCCACTTGTCATGTGTATGCTTCCTTTATTGTGCTTGGGTAGACCATCCACCCTAGCTTCATGTTAGCTGGCTCAGTTACTACTTCTAGAAGTGCTGTCACATGGCAGCAGTGTGCTGCAAAATCCATCTAAGAAATGAGTAAATATTTGGGCATTTATCTATTCTGAGCCCTGCTTTGCTGCAGATACACTGCTATTACCCCCAAAATAAATAATTAAGAGCAACCTTGGGTAGATCTACACTTCAGTGACTGCCTTCTGGATGTAACTCAAAAGGTTCCCTCCTAGAGGAGTAGAGCTCAGGCCAGCAGCTGTTGGTACACAGGTCTTTGTGTAACCCACAAACCCAGCTGCATTGTAGCACTCTGAAGAAAACACAAAGGCACTCTCAAGCTGTTACCTCAGCCATAACTGGCCTTTTCGAACTCTCCTCCTCATCTCACAGATTAGTGGGGAAATACTAGAACCACCAGAAAGAGACTATTCCACCTTTTCCATGCATTTGTTGTCTGTGCAGCTGCGATCTATCTGCTCCCTCAAGTAAGGCAGCCACATCACTGCCAACCCTCACATATTCAGGATGCCAAAAAATCATAAGCTTAATTTAAAACAAATCTGAGCAGCATATACGGGATTCTTGTCCTTGCCTGCCCACTCTGGGCCTCACATTACTTGGGGGTTCTTCAGGAATAATGCAAGCCACCAGTGCTGCAGCACACCAGTGTGCAAATGATGTATACCTGATCAGCACTGCATAGCCTGTGCCCAGTCTCTGCTGGACACTTGCTATAAGCACTGCCACAGAGCGAGGACACCAGGCTCAGGGCTGCTGTGAAGGACAGACAGGAAATGCTGGTGCATGTGGAGAAGCAACTGGAGCCAGTGACCCTTTTGAGTAGTTTGTTAACGGCCATTAAATACAACAGGCTTTTGTTTTGCTGCAGTTTTAGTTACCGTCCACCCACACTTTCTTTCCAATGAGCAAAAAGAGAAAATTCTCATGCAATGTTGGTACTTGCGTGGCATTAACTGGAGCGGGTGATTTTTCAAATCTTCCTTTCTCCTATGCAGGCTAATCACACGCAAAATGAGAGAAATAGCTCAAGTTTCCTCCAGTTTATGCCTCATTTTTATGAGTCCATATATCCTCCCACACCAAGCAAAAGCATCATGTCCTGTCTTAAATGCTAGGGAGAGAAATGTGTTCATCTTCAAGCAAGTCATCTCCTAGTATGCACTCATGTCTGTATGCTAGGTCTAGCACACTGGCATTTTCAAAAAAGGTGTTATCATTGCCAGCAATGTTAGAGAAGTGACATAAAAGTGGAGTAATCCAGGGGCTGAGGAACTAGCTTGTGACACATGAAGTTCAAGTTCCCTGGCCTGCCTCAAAATCCTTGCATGACTGAGGGCAAATCACTTAGGACTTCGATTCTCACAACACAGCCTGAGGGCTTATCTGCAGCCCACCAGGACAACTGTCCAGTTCAAGGGGTCAACTCTTGCCCATTTTCCTTCTTGTGGCTTCCCTTGAGGAGCAGGAGATGAACTAAATGAATTGACCAGTCACAGTCACTATCTTGATGGGAGCCCTCTGTTGCCCTCCCCCCACCATGTGATGAGCACATATCAGATTAGACGCCCGTAAAGAGGTGATCGGACACCTTCTCCCAAAAGAGACAGCTATCAAGAGCAGCTTCTGCCATCCCAGTATTGGATTCAGTCTGTTCTTGTCCACTTCCCCTGGAAATGTGGCAGCTGAGAGCAGGCTGCACAAAATACTTGGGGGAAAGAGGAAGGTACTGATTCATTCTTGGCCGCCTTCTTTCCCAAAGGCAACTCAGGAGTCAAAAGGAACTGCTGGGAGGCGTCAGTTCTCGTACGCATGTGCTACACTGAGAAAGCAGAGATTCTGACCAGGTTATTGCCAGCACAAAGGTCTTCCTACTAAAAACACTAGCCTCGAGAACACTGCTACTGACCCATACTTACATGCAGCCACGACATGTTCCGATGATAGTTCTCCTCCGTGCCTGTGTTGCTCAGCACCTCGGGCTCAATGCTAGGTTCACTTGCGCTCCAAGGGCTCCCTTCTTCAAAAGAAAAATACCCAAAAGGTGTTTGCTTTTATTGCTCCCTATGCGCTTAAAGCCTAGGGACAGCACTTGTAAGCCAGGCCAGCCTTGTGGAAACAGATTAGAGTACACAGAATATGCCACACTGGAAAGACTGCTTTTGGACACCCCTCACCAATCTTTGTTTTGTGCCGGCTTGACAATTACAAGAACCTCTCATACGCGGCTCACAGGCCATCTTGTCAGTAGCAAACACTGATCCCTCCCCACTGTTTTCTTTAACGGAAGGGAAGACGGTAAAATAAAATCAACAAGAAACAAATTCTTTGCACCATTCAGATGCTGCAAATGGTTGGTTTAGTGATCTGCATTGACTGGGCTCTGTGGTTAAAATGTCAACAAAAATCCAACCAGAAGTGGCATCCAACTGGAAATGCCAATGGGCAAACTCACCGTTAAGTGCCCGCAGAAACTGCTAACGACACGGGGATGAAAGGGGAAAAAAATCCTGATTCTAGCATACTAATGCTAAAGAATTTAGGCAAGGGACAGATTCCTCTGGGAACTGCACTGATCCCTATGTTTCCTGCAGCCGTTTCATCGCCTACGGGCTTGCTGTAATACTAACACTAACGCTGTTAAGGGATGGCTGGGTTACTAACTCTGGTTAGTCCTTTCTTTCTCTCCTTCAAGTGAACTGCGACTTGTTAAAGTCTACAGAACAGGCAATCCCACTCTCTACGTTTACCTACTGAAGTACCTTTTGGGTAACATAAAAATGACCATTAGGCTTGGGAGGTTATTGCAGCGGCCAAAGAATCCAAACTTTAGTTTTTGCTTAGCACCCCTAGCAGAGGGAGCCCTTTTATTTCAACTGCGATGGAGATTTTTTTTGACGAGACATACATTGGATTTCCAGAAGATAAATATATGGGGTTTCATCTTTCAAAGATTAAGGAAAATATCTTTATAATGTAAAAATGTATGTCTATGCCAATATGTAGAAATATAGTATGCAATATGTAAATAAATGTTGCATTCTACATATAGGAATATATACATCTTATACGTCATATGACATGCCTATGACATCATATGCTACACAGAATATGAAGTGCATGTCTGTACATATATATATCCTATCTGTGAATATGGACAATGAAATATCATAGGTGCATATGACCTGACATATTCATTATATCACATGATTTAGGAGTATGTGTGTGCATATACATATATACACACACGCACGTGCACCCCTAAAGACCGCATGCGTTTGGCTGGCAGACACCAGCATTCCAAGAGTTCATGCTCTAACACGGAGCTCTGAATTGACAGCCTGTGCATGGAGCCAATTCTGCACCCAGGGCGCCGGCAGCAGGATTTGAACTTTGTTCCTCCCAGGTCCTAGCTCAGGCAGTCCATGAAGAGGACTTCAGGTTTTTCCTAGCCTGCTGGGGGCGGGGGGGTCTCTTGTCATTTCTAGCTCTGCTGCAATCACATCAAGAGTTTAGATCCTGCCTACTCATCCCCTCCCTTTTCACCCACTCGTCTAAGTTACCTATATCAGTGACAGTGTCCCTGCTGTGGGACAGCTGCAGCTCCTCATTCTCAGACTCTGAGTCCTGCCGTGATAACTTGGTGCTCTTTAGGCTGCCGGCCCGGCGAATGCTGGACAGGGAACCCCCCTTCTTCACCCGGAAACTGCGGGTTCCTTTAATCTGGAGCAAGCGGGAGCCTCCTATCCTGATCTTCCTGCTGGGAACTGTATTAAAAGAATAAAAGAGGACTTTTTTCCCCTTAATTTTTCCCCATTAAAAATATATATATATATATCCTGGCCCTCCCTTCCCTCCCAACCCTTTGCTGCCAGCCTGTATTGCAGCGCCTTTTCTTCTACCAGAGGCTCCCTCCAAAGCCACCGCCAATGCAGCTCTGTCAATCAGCCAGTAAAGATGCTGTAGAGAAACGTGTTCAGAACCTCCTTTCCCGGAGACCTGGTACCTCACCTCTGGCCTTGTCTGTATTTGGAATTAGCCCTGGTTTGACCACCAGCAAGTAGAGTCAGCTGCTCTAACAGAAACCCGAAACGCAGACAAGGAAAACCTACGATTCACACCAGTTTGAATCAACTGCTGCCAGGAAACAGAGTCTACCCAATGGGTGCAAATTGCAGTTTTCTTTGCCAGCTCCTGGGGTTTACATTAGTGCAGAATCACCTCTTGCTAGGGATAGACGGCTGAATCCCAAGAATGAACAAGGCATCACGGACAAACCTATTCTCCTGTGGGCCTGGGTTCTGTAAACACCACTGAGCTCTGCAGTAGGATCAACTATTTATTCACACAGCACGTGTAACTGCAGAAGGGTAGTCTGCTTCAGGAGGTTAGCACACAGGACTTCTTTGAAGTAAGATTTGCATAAATCCGTGTCTCTGCATGTTACTCTTCATCATTAGAATGCTTTAGAGGAAGCAGGAGCACGTAGATCCTCTCCTTCAGACAAATCAGCAGCTTTCAGGCATTAACAACATCCATTGACACTCTGCATTTTTGATGAGCACAAACATGAAATGGTTCAATGTTCAAAGCACCAACCGTTTGCAATTTCATTCTCCTCTTAGTTCAAAGGCAGTACATGGCAGTATGTCAGTCCAAATGTTGCAACACTCAGTCATTGTACTGCAGATCTAATCACGCAAGGCCATGTGTGATCAATACCTTTCGGTGTGTGGTTGAGAATAAACAGGATACAGCTTTTTAGATAAAATGGGTAAGCTATATTTTTCAAAAGAATTGCGTTCTGACGTAAGGAAAAAAAAAAAAAAAATCAAACATGCCCTGACTCCTGAGAAGCCCTCCCTTCCTGTAGAACCCAACTCCCACTCCCATTTCTGGTGACTAATGGCCTGGCCAAAGACAGCTGGATAGGTTTTGAGAGCTACTCCTCAGTGCTCACGAATCAGCTGGGCAAACCACTATCAAGCAACTGGAGAATCTCCCTCCAAGTGACCAAGCTGAGTCCCTTAGCAATCACTACTGGTTGAATTTGGTTCAGTTCAAGCTCAGTACAGTTGCTCAGTTCCCCCAAACACCAAACTATTTTAGCACTTTAGCACTACATTTCACAAAGTTTGCAGAATCCCATTATAATATCCAAATAGTACACACGATCCTCTGAGTGCCTGCAGCTACCTAGCTTAATTGTCTGTAATTTGGACCTACCTGGCGCAGATTCTAGACAGAAAAACCGTAGCTTTGGGATAGCTGTTAAGCCACACCTGGGGTGAGCAACGGGAGCAAAGTTTTTAACACTCAGAAAGAAATGAAAGGAAATAGATTAGTACTTATCAAAGAGGTTGAGATTAAGAGACCTATCACTGCAGGTGAGAAAAATTTAGTTACAGTCACACAACAACATTTTCTTATCTCAACAAGTGTAGATTACAAAAGATGCCTCTGCATCTGTTATGCTTGGCCCAAGTAGATCCCCAGAAGAATACGCTGTGGCCAGAGAAAAGAACATTATTATTATTTTGAAATATAGTATCATTTTACATTTATTTAGCTTCCAAAATAGTGCATAATCATTTCTGTTAATGTATCTTAGGATTCAAAATTCCTACCATAGTCCCTTATCCCACCTATGAAACATATTAAAGAGGCAGCTTTAGTAAAGGAAAACTATGTGACAGCCTAGGGAAAAGAGAGAAGGGGGAAAAGACCCACATGAAACTGTAGGTAAAATGTAGTCAAGCTGAGACAGGGATGCAGAAAGTTAACACTGCCATCTTCACAAAAAGAGCTTAATTCTGGATAACGTTAGTAGCACCGTAACATGTGGAGCCAAACCTAAGTGAACGCTGTCTCTAAGGAAAATGGGATAGCTAGAGGCGTGCCACCACCGTTTTCCAGCTCGACCATGTGCTTGCAGGCATTCTCCCATTCAGACAATATTCCAGTGGGTGGGACTGCTGCTTGACAGGCTGAGAAGTGGTTTCGAGTAATTGCTGTAACGACCTTAAAGAAAAAAACTTTTCCTCATCTAAGTAGTTAGTGACATCTTATCCCATTGATCTTATTGTCAGACATAACAACGTGTATTTCTCTGGGCTATCAATACGCCAAGGGCACAAAGACCTAGGCTGAGCATGATTTTATGCAACTGACCTCTCTTAGGTGGATAGCTAGCTGTCTTCACAGAAGAAACTATCCCATCCCACACACAGTTTTGGAGGCAGTTTTACACCACAGGAGTGTTGGAAACATGTCTAACATTTTCTCTAGTAACTGTGGTAGGATCACAGCTGAAGACGACACAGGCTTTATCCAAAGCCCTTTGATGTCAGTAAAAGCTCCTCTGCATCATTAATACACTTTATAATTCCTAGAGGATAACCAGCCACAGGCTCCATCCTTCTCAAACAACCATCAAAGCACTTATCCTTTTCAAACAATCATCAAAATCAGCATTCAAACATCTGCACTTTTATGCAGCTATTAAGAGACAGAATTTAAACAGTTCATCTAGAAAACTCATTAGAGGGAGAATCATTTACGGATAACTGTCTGGCAGTTCAGCCTCTAATTGCAAATATTAACGATGACTGTATATTGTATTGCAACACTTGTACCACCAGTATGTGAGTTTTGCATGAGATGGCTTAAAATGGAAACAATCTGCTGTTCTCAGCAAACACAGTGAGCTTGAGGTTTGCTTCTACAGTATACAGTATGTCGGTAACATTAATCTGCTAGCTGTCAAAAGCCACATAGGTCTGTGTTTTTTATGTGGTAGCAAAGAATTCAAGAGATCAAATAATCAACCACTAATTTTGTAAGAGGCCATGACTTCCAAACTGGTAGAGATTTTCACCGAAAGATTCCAATTTTCTCTCCTATCTGTAGTTTTCCCCGAATGAAGAATTATAATCAGAATAAAAAACAAATAAAAACTCCTCTGGTTTATTTTTGAAGTGAATCAAATAGCAATGCTTGTAACAGCATTTCACTGAGAAAGTTTCAAATAAGGCACCTTCCTTTTTAGAAATATTGCAAGGCTTTCATTTGTTTTCAGTCATAGCAGTGGTTTGATAAAACGCAAAGTCTTTGCTTCTCACATTTACTATCTTGAACCCCGAAGGCCAGAAGCATCTCAGAAATTATTAAAAGCCACGTGACTCCATGGCTGCCTGCTATTTAACACAGTTTATGCAAATGAAAACATAAAATCAAGCGCCACTTCACAAGCCCTGGGAATACAAAAGCCGCTTTGTGCAGACAAACCTTTTTTCTCCTCAAAGCCAGCCTCGGATTTGAGGGTGTGGCTGCTGCTATGCAGGGAATCCTTTGAATCTTCATTTTCATCCAGAACCCCAGCAAAGCTGATCTTTCTTTCATACCTGTGCCGGTCCATCTCAGGGTCCAGACGCAGCCTGCAGCTCTCCAGATCCTGTGGCAGTATGCAGATCACACAGACATGCTAACAGTACGAGCCCCCATCCTTTTCCCTTCAACCACAGACTTTCACCTTCAGGAAGAACTGCCTCATATGGGATTTTATTTCTGTAATATGCTTCTCCATCTACCCTGATGCTTTCCAATTCAAGTACTTTTTGGGTTTGCAGCATGCTCAGCCACGCTGTAAACACAGTTAGGATGGAAGAGTTAATAGGTGTCAGTAACTGGACTCACATACATTCCTGGTTAACACCGCTGAGTGAATTGGTACCCTGTCTGCAGGCCCATAAGGGGAAAAAAAATAAATGGTGCCTAACGGGCAGCTGGCAGTAAGAGGCAGCTGTTGCTCAAGGTGTTTGGTGGAAGATTAGATCTGGGAAGGACTAAGCTCTCCACTCCAAAAGCTTCCCTGTGGTTGGTTAGGGCATACACTGCAACTGGATTCATTAGGTGCAGAAAAACTGAGACAAAGCTAGCTGATAATGTGACATCCATGACAGCACGGCCCAGAGCGAGCTTCTTGGGTGCAAATCAGACTGGAAGGACACAGTGGGAAACAGGGAACAAGAAAAGTGTTGGCTGCATTTCAGTTCTGGGAAATGGGATTCTGGGATTTTGGGGAAAAAATAAACTATCCCAACAGACAGAAACTAGTTTGTACTATCGTTTTCTCCTATTAACAGAAATGGCACTAATGGTGCCACATACTGGCTTTCAATTTGGGCCAAAAAAGTGAAAGTCTCAAGGTACCGCAATCTATGGATTATCATCTGTTTTCTCTAACCACAGATAGAAAAAATGAAGGCTAGACTGTAAGCTCTCACACTGGCAAATGCAGTTAAAACGCTATTCTCTTTAAGAGGCCTTTTGAACCTTTTGATTGGTGACAGTCAGCTTTGAGACCTCCTTCCTGAAATATAAGATAGCACAAAGCTACTTGCTGTAAATAACAGAGGAGGGGGTTGGTGAACACAAATAGTAAAATGACTGAAATGATCCAAAATAGTTATTTTGGATAAAATACTGCAGGCTCAAGAAATCTCATACTGGAATTTGCACACAAAACTCCTACAGAAGTTACTGGGAGCTACTCGGATAGCGACTAAGTTCGTTATTCTAACAGCTGCTTTGAAAAAAATAAGTTTTCTCAATCATACATTGTAGACCGAACTGTGCTGAAACGGGCACTAGTGCATCTGATGCCAACTGAAGGCCCCAAATCATTTGTAGTCAGCTTTGCATCTCCAAAAAAAATTATCCCAAACGGCCTGTTAGAAGAGCTAACAGCTGATGGGAACAAGGGAAATATTTTGACTTTGCTCAACAACCAAACCTGCGATATAAAAAAGTGCCTAAAAATAATGGTTGACAGTCTCCTTGGCATTGAAAATTTCTGTGCAAATAGCTTAAAACGTATCTAACAAACAGTTTAGGATGTGAAATAAATGTTAAAGCAGTTCAGGATAAAAGTCTGTCATCAAACCTGACCAAGTTATAGCAACTTCATAAGTTAGCACTCATAAACTAAGCCAGCAGAGCAGTAGAGGTATACTCCTAGGGTAGGGATCCCCGTGCTGGAGTTGGTTTAAATGCAGTACTCCTCCCAGCTGTTTGTCAGCATGCGCTCACTGGAAATTACTGCCCCACAAATTAACTGATAGAATGAAATACATCTCCTCAGCACACAGTTAGCTGGGCTCTATCTTTCTTCAGCAACTGCTTAAGCTAAAATGAATAACTTTGTACCATAGCAAATGACAAGTTACAGGCATCTGGCTCTACTGTGGGAGCAGCAGGCTCCAAGAGAATGTATTCATCAGGTCAAGCCACTTGGAAAGAGAGCTCGTATCTGTTCCACCAGCTTCAGTAAAAGGCTTTGCCTGGAGTTTCAGCCAGGACTGTTTATCTCACTAAAGCAGAGGTATGGAGCTGCTCATGCCCTCAGCTGGGCAAGCCTGGAATGGACTAAACTGTGTGTATTTAAAATGGCTGACCACAGCTAGCTCAGTTACAAATGCATCAGTTCTCCCTCCGCTGCTTATAAGTTTATGTTCATATCTGTGGAACAGGAAAAAGTTCAGGTATGACTCAGGACCAACTTCCCTGTCAGGTATGCCTGCAAACAGCAACAGAAGTGAGAGCTGCTCTACTGGAATTTTAACTTCACTGTCTGTAACATTATGTACCTGGTTCTCTTTGAAAGAGGAAGCAAGTAACCCAGCTTTTTCTTATATGGAGAGACTCTCATCAGTCCATAAATACAGAAACTTCACTTTTCAATCTGGAGTCTTGTTAGCTCTTTTTTGCATCTTTGCATTAAGTCAAAAGAAGCACTCTTTGGTCATTTTCTCTGATGGGCTCTTACATAATATGATCTTAAGGTTTCTTCTGCCTACACGCCACAAAATAATTCCTCCTCCTTCTCTCCCAGACATGAGTCTGAAAAGCTATTAATCAGCTGCATTGCTTTCTGGCACAAATTCCTATTGACTCTAATTACCCAACACATTCTTAGCTCCAAGCCTAAATACATTAGTGAGATGAATTCTAAACCCTGCTATTATCCTGCTTTTGGAGACAGTCATTTATTACGCGGTGAAAATATCAACAAAGTGTTCGTGAAGACTCCTTCTGAGTTTCTCCTTGTTTTTTAAAATTGTCCTTCTTGCACACCTCGGGACTGAGTCACTTTATCACAGGTCTAGTCCAGACTTTGGAAACCAATTTCAGACCCTAACTGCAACAATACCCAGTCATCAGCCTGTCAAGCACAATTTTCATCAGTAAGGTTTGATCTAAATCCCTAATTAACAAAAATCAGAATGGTGGGGCTAAATCTTCCTGCAGGTTCACATGGAAAATCAATTTCTCATTCTTTCTTTGCAATTTTTTAGTCTGATTTCTGAAAGAAATGAAGCTTAAAAGATCATATCGATTGTCTGGCATACAATCCTCATCTCATTCCATTCTCCTTATCACCTCTGAAGCTGCTGGCTACTTTCAACCCAGTTTGATAAAACATAACTGAGCATCTGTGCCTTTTGTGAAACAATAGGCTGAAGGCAGTGTTAAAACACCTCAATAGACATAAGAAAATCTGTACAAGAATGAACCGTAGGAAGTCAGGTTTCCTGAGTGCTGCTACTCACAAAATTAGTTGTCACTTAACCAGTTATTTAGCTCATTACTCATGCCAGGAATCGCCTGTGCCTCTCTCAGTCTCATGGATGCCTATTTCTTTCCTTGTTCTCTTTGCCTTTGTTTCTTTCCTTGCTTCTCCCAGTCCCTTCAAGTCTCTTGTCTAACCCAGGCCCAAACTGCAAGCTCTGAGCTCCAGCAAATTCTCTGTAAGCCATCCTCTTGTCCTTCCCTTGACTGTCCTCTTCAGTGCTCTGTCAACTGGCCCTCCTAATCAGCTATTGTAGCACTTGATCTTTCATCTGCTGTAGTCCATCTCCCACATCTTTCAGGTCCCCAATATACAGTTTCCCAATCCATCTACTATGCTCTGCTCTATTTTGAAACCTTCTTGGACTTCCAGTGCATATTCTGCTTCTCCGGTCTACAAACCTTCTTATGTCCTTAGTCAATCCATTTAATGTGCCTTGCTCATCTTCCATATTCATCAGACCACGGCTCTTTTCTCTCTGCATCAGATATCCACCTGGGTTATTTCCCCCGCCTACCTTTCCTAAGAGACACAACGACTGGGTGGGAATGTCTCCCTCTCTCCCTCTCCAACTTCTATTGTCCACTTACCACAAGAGGCTCAGTACGTGGCCTGGGCATTTAGGGAAAGGTCTCTCGGAGGAAAGTGGTTATCTCCAGAAGGAGCTGACAGGCTGCCATTTTCAGTGCAAAAGGACAACAACATTTGGTAGGATTCACAGTGCCTGCGAAAAAATATTCCACGGTGAGAAAGGAGATTGTGCAACATCTGGAACCAAGAGGTGATGGACATTTTCACGTATGGTGCACAAAGCAAGCTGCATTAAAAAAAAGAGGAAAATCTAGACTCCTGTGCTACTTTTCCTACACTAAAAGGAACAGAGCCATACAATTATCAATCCATGTACTTAACAGCACATGCTACAGTACCAGCACACTATAGTGTATCGTTATTGAAATATCTACTAAAATAGCATGACCTCATAGCATTCTGTATATACCTTCTCACTTAATGTTAATACAGAAGTGAGAAGCAGATATCCTCCTACCCTTTTACAGTTTTGCATTCAGCCATATCTACTGCAATTCTGAAAAAAACACCGGTTTAAAACAGGTTAAATATCTCAAAATATACGGAGTTATGACTAGTCAGCAAAAAAGGTACTATACCTATTATTAATTATTACCCTGACAACTGATAGCCTCCTCTGAAATCAGATTCCTTTATATGTGCACAGAATCCAAGTGCCATTCAGAGATAATCAAGAAAAAAAAATCCAGCTATTTATTCAATTTATGCATTCAAATGCTTAACCTAAAACAAAGGGCAAAGTGAAAGAGGGATTATCATATATGTGAAGCACTTAAACACACATATCAGCGCCTTTGCTTCAAATGAGTCTAAACAATCAGCTTCAAAAGCCCTACAGTTTGCAACTCATATAATTCTCTAATGCCATTCCAACCTTGAAAAGGATGATGAATTCCTCAAGACTTGACAAATTTGCAAAATACTATTTAGAATAAATAACAGAAAGCAAAAAAAACAAACAAACAAACTGCCTGATATTGCCATCTATATGCATTTGAGAGATTTGTGTTTTCACTTGCCTCCCTCCACATGTCTAATCTAATTACTTTTCACAAAGAAACAGTCCAAACCAAACAAGATGAGAGGGCATCGCAAGAATCAAACCAGATTAATTTTCTGATGCTTGCTAACTTCTCCGCACGTGTTTTCCATAATGGATGACAGACTTTGTAGGGACAGAAAGAATCTGAACATTCAAATAAAGATACAATGTACAGGGTAATGGAATACCCAACTGCATATTTTATGCTCCTCAGTCTACCCCCTGCAGCGCTCACGGTAGTTTTTGGAAGTATCTCGGCTTTCTGCAAGAATGCAGAATTGTTTTCTTCAGATCCTGGCTTTCAGAAAAGCTCTTGAGCTTTTACGCAGCTTTCTAGACCACAGCCTGTTCTCTTCAGTTTGCCTGTCCTAGACTACCCTGCTAAGCAGCTTCACATCCACTTAGGAGTGCCCGATATCCATTGGCAGGCAGGGGCGAGACAGCCCTTTCTATCTCTTGACTGTGGGAACGCAGTTCTTTTTCATCTTTCAGAAGTCATTCATAGTGCAGCAGAGGGCAAATTTCCTGTGCACGGTCCAACTTTCGATACCCCTCTGTAAGGGCCAATCAAGCATCCAGTACAGCTACCCAGACTCATATACCTGCTAACGCTGGCACCCCACCTAGTGACACATGCGAAGAACTAGCTTAGGGTCATTTCAAGGTCATTTCCTACCTCTCCCCTCTACCCCAAAGCTGGTCTTTTGGCAGTGATAAGAACAGATACAGAACATGAGAAAAAGAGACCAGCAAATACATAAACAGTGCTAGCACACTACATCCAATGGCAAACAGCACTACACGTACACAGGAACCAGTACTTTACAGCACACACACGTATACAAATGGTGTCTGGAGAGGACATAATGTGTGTTACCACCTTCACCTACCCCAGTATGTGTTTTATACCACTTTTTACAGCACTATGCTATATTTCTGCCTGAGAACTAGGCAGATATACTGAAGTCAAGATTTGAAAGCCTTTGTTAGAGCTGTGCCAATTCACATCAGGTGGGGAGATGACTCCTCAGTGTTAAGAAACACAAAAGCAGCTGATACTACAAAAATAGTTTGGCAGGGATAACTGGGAAGAATGGGAGTTTGAACCACTTTTGGCAGTCAGGTGACAGCAAGACCCAGAAAGTAAATGATTGCCCTGCTTATAACAGCAGTTGCTGACATACAAAAATGGCAACTCACTGCCTGGCTTTGCCCCCTTTTCTGTCAAAGTCCCTCGGTGCTGCTACCCATCTGCCACATTGTACAGCCAGGCATGGAAAGAACAGGGAAGGAAGCTGGAGTGGAGATGAGGGACTGGGAAATACAGCTGGGTGGCAAGAGGATGAAAAGAAAAATTAAGTGCTCCTAAAGCAGAGGTTCTTACAAGCGGGGGTTCTTGTAGTAAAGGGAGTCTCCTTACTGTCATCTAAAAAGTCTTCTTCCTCATCCTCCTTTCTCAGGCGCCTCTTGGTCTCCTCATCATAAATGAGGCCCAGTAAGTTGGCAGGGCTCTCACTCTCCGCATGGCACAGCTCGTTGAGACGGATGCCGATTGCCTGTGGACAGGAAAGGAGAAAGAGAAGCGCAAGGAAGTCAGAATTTCAGCATACCTCACTGGTGATCAAGACCTCTGTCCCTTGTAGGCTACAGAGATGTTCCACCCAGAACAGAACGCCCTAGCTTTATTTTTATTGCCTGCAAAATACAGTAAAGTGGAGAAAGGGAGGACAAGTATTTACCCCCCATCCCCCCGCCCTTTTTTTTTTTTAAATCGAAATTTGCAAGCAGTTAAATTTAGGAGGATTTTTAACCACATTTCTTTCGTTTTTTTAAAGAAAAAAAGCAAGCCAGCACATTGACAGGCAGAAAGAAATTTAGTCACTATTTTGCATGAATTTTTTCCACTTTTCTTTCTCCACTCAAAATAAGTGTACTACATTTTTGCTAAGGCTTTACACTGGGAATATATGTCCTCCATTTAAGAAAGTAGCCTGTGACTTAAGAAGCCAGTAACCACTCCCTCTTTTTTCAACAAAATTGTTGCATGCCCATCAGAAAGCCTGTTTCCATCTTTAAAGGGGAGACTCCCTGATGCACTTTCCAAGGAGTTCACAATATGCATATGCAAGCTTGCAAGGTACATGGGTAATGGCATAAAGCAGATCCACATAAGGAGTATAGCCAGATAGATAGATTTCCAACAAACATAGCTGCATTCTCCAGAAGGATTTTGATTGTTCATTCATGGCTGTTTACCAGCATCATTATCAGCATGTAAACAGCCCTCATGATGCTGTCAGTAAAGCTACAGATAAGGGTGTGTTGTTAGCAAGAAGAATGCTTCCCTACTAAAACACTTCAGAGTTGATGCAAATAGTTGCCAATCTGTTATCTGTGAGCCTGTATGTTACTAAATAAACTCCATACCCCTCACTTTTTTTTTTTTGCTCATCTTCCAGTCATTTAAGGAAGAAATGTTCTGCTTGCTTCTCTCCAAAGGAGTAATTTATCATGTATTTTTTATGCTCTGTTGTCTATCCTAATATTAAAGCAATCATACATAATGCCACAAGTATCCTACCTAAGGAGCACTAAATTTCTAATATGTATTGTCTGCATGAATTATCCCTGGTTCTCCTAGCAAATGGATAGCACGTCACACTTGAAAAGAAAATGTCTCAACTGAAACAGCCAAAGGGAATGATAGACTAACCTGACCAGAATAGACTTACCAGTCTATCATTTAAAAAGACAGCATCACAGGTGAGATTGCATGATTCAGTAGGCTCATCACTTTAAGGGGCAGCCCAAATCCCACCTAATGTGGGAAGGGTTTACCACTGTTATTCTCTGGTGGATCCTGAGGAGGTTGAGTTAAAGGACCTGGGTAGGAAAGGAAGGTTTTACATTCATTCTTGGTCTCACTAAACTTTTACAATGGCACCCTACATCACAGTACGTGAGTAATGACAGACAAATAAGGATGACTATAATTAGCACAGATTTCCAGCCTTGTTGACTGCAAGAAAAAAAAACAGAACAAGGCCTCAGTGCATTCAGAAACTAATATATTATTTGTGCTTTGTCCAAGGATCTTCCTGTCACAGCAGCAGCTCTGCTGCCACAAAGCACCAAGGATGGTGGTGTACAGTGTTGACAATTTTCTAGTAGCATAGAGCCCGGCTTCGGGCATAAAAGTACAATGTATGCAGCCTGGAGCAGGCTGATCTGGTCCAACCTTTTTCATACTGTGGACTGGGTACCAGCTTTAGGACCTCATCTGAGCTAGCAGAGATGAGCTGGGTGAGGTATACTATCTTCTTGATACTGGAGCACTGCGCGTGTGCACAGTAACTCTGCCCAGCATGCTGATACTGTCTATGGTAAGATAAGCGAACACGTGGAAATGGCAACACTGTCTGCAGCAGGTGCCTGTTACCACAGCAATTGAAAGCTGTTTCTCCTCATGGTTCAGCCGCTCTGCTTGGAACCTGATCAGAGCCAACAAAAGCAGCTGTCTGAGGAGCACCGTTGCAAGTTTCTAGCCCTACAGGCTTAACTACTGGCTGTCATTTATGCTTGCAGCCAGCTTCATCTGAAACAGCTTCTGGGAGGCAAAAGCAGAACCAGAGGACCAGCCTTTCCCAACAGTCAAAGAACATAAAGGACTGTACCCCAGCAGTGCTATGTACAGACCAACCCTGAAGCATGAAGCTGTGTGGGGCAGATGATGCTGCTCTTGGTAGCTATACTGTCCCATCCTCCAGTGAGGAGAAACAGAATGCTGGTGGGCAGCTGCACCCTCTCAAGGGTGCAGTCAAAAGAGAAGAAAATTACATGGTAAAGATTATGCTCCAAATCCTCTGCTGTCTTAGAGTAGGATAAAAGTGATGCTTTTCTCCGCTGGGGTGGCTAAGCAGCTAACACACACATGCTGTCCCTAAGAGTGGACAATACTTCCAGATACACCTTCTACTGCTACTAAAACTAAGGGGAAGAGAATGATGGTTCTGCTCTGTTTGAAAATCATAAAATGAAATTGGCATTTGCCACAGAAAAGTATATTTTACTTAAAAGATCCCAAGAGAGGACAAGAAATAAAAGGAGAGTTAAAATATAAGAAACAACAAGTTGTAATAAAAAATGGCCACTTTGACAATGTTCTTTTAACTTGTGCCATTTGTGGATATAACTGAGAATCAGGGAGGATGATAATTCATATTTTTTCACTTTTAGCAGTTCTTCATACGTGCCATTCTGTTTACAACTGAACCATGCTAAATCATCAGCTATATCAGTGAGGATTACAGGAAAGTCTCACTTCCAGAGACCACAACACATTTTTCACAGTAATATTATAGGGCACAGAAAACAGGAGAGAGAAGTTAATTTTCTTGATTTTCAAGCATCCAAAACCAAAGATTCCTTCCAATTTCCCTTCCAATGTCCTCAGACTGAGTAGAGAGATCTTCTGTTTTTCTGCCTCTCAGGCCTGGGGTAGCAAGGCCTATACTTGAAGTGGATAGCCTTAATAAAAGTCAAACCAAGGCACATTTTATGTACTTCTTCCTAAAGACATAACCACTCCTCCTGTTATGCTTACAAACCATCAAGAGTGTAGAAAGATTAAAGAGAAGCTGCTAGCCATCAAAACTCCCTGGCTCCTTTCTCACATCATTGCTCCTTTCTTGCATCATGTGGTAGTACTTTTTTTTAACACTTAGGAAAGGAAACCTTCCTGGATTTTCTCTAACTCAGCCTATTTTAGTTTCTAAAAATGGCAGTTGGACGGGAATCTAACTGCCTCCTTATGGTTATTCACTTGCTCCCGTTTTTCTCAGAACCTGAAGGAAAGAAATGTCTGGAAGCATGAAGTCCACTAGGACAGGTATATAGCCCTGACTGGTAGTAATGCACGCAAATCCTATGTTCCCCACTTGGAAGGGGTCTTCAAAGGAGTTAGGCTAATATGGTGACCTCCTGAAATATAGAGGGCAAATAAATTCACATTCCCCCCCCCCCTTTTTTTTTTTTTTTTTTTTTTTTTTTTTTAATATCTTCTTTTTTTCATGATTTTTAAGATAGTCACCCGTGTTTGAGACATAACGGCGAGTAGTGCAAGGGTCTCCAGATACCATTCCCTGGCCTAGCTTCAGAAACAGAAGCAGGACAACAGCCAAGAGACAAGGTTTATTAGTTCACAAAAACCCCTTCCCCCCCCCCCCTTTTTTTTTTTTTTTTTTTTTTTTTTTAAAGAAACTCAGTTCTCTGTGCCATGATTTTTAAGATAGTCACCCGTGTTTGAGACATAACGGCGAGTAGTGCAAGGGTCTCCAGATACCATTCCCTGGCCTAGCTTCAGAAACAGAAGCAGGACAACAGCCAAGAGACAAGGTTTATTAGTTCACGTACTAAGGCTATCCTGTGCTCAAATCAATGCTAGGCTCTCCTCGGGCTGTGCTGTGTAGCGGGGATGTACTGGGTCAGCACTGGCTCAGCGTTCCCCGCAACATGCTCTCACGAGGAATGTAGATTCCTTTAACCTAGAAGAATATGGGTCAGACAGGCGTTTTTAGCATGGCTTATGTAAGTACTCCAAGACTGCTGACTATTTGGTTTTCCCCAAATTCTGTCCTCCTGAACACAAACCTCATTTTCAGCCAGACATATTACATATCCAGTACCATAAAGATAAAAGGAACTTCTCCCACTCTTTCTTGTTGTGTGAAATGACTTGCAATAAGCATCAGACCTTCAGCAGATAGGTCCTGGTGGACTTCCAAAGAAAGCGTAAGCAGTGCTGAGCAGGCAGACAAGGTGATTGACTAGTTCACATATTGTAAGAGATCGTGAAAAGAAGGCATCAAAGGACACTTGAAGGACCCAAGTTCAAAACAAGTAAAAGGAGATAGCTCTTCACGTGACGTGTAGCAGCCCTGTGGAATTCCTTGCCAAAGGATGATGAGGGTTAACAATTTGCATGGGCTCAAAGAGACACTGAACAAGCACGTTGAAGAGAAAGCCACTGAGGGTTACTAAATGCACAGCATCACATCTAGCTCAAGCAACCCAGGGCTAAATATAGTTGGAACCTAGAAAAAAGCAAGAAGTATCATAGAGACTGCTCTTACTCTTCCTTAGGCATTCCCATATAACAAGTGCTGGAAATAGAACAGTGGGCCAGATGAATCGTCAAACTGAACAAGAGTGGCTGGTGTTACATCCTCATAAAGTCCATTTCTATTAGGAGAACGGCTGATTTTGACAGGCTATGAAGTCTGAAGGGAGGCTTGTGAGTCCCCATTTTACTAGGACTGAAATTCTATGTGTGATCCAGTTACCATTACATTTTACTGTATTTGTGAATGTGAGTAGATGAGAAACACTTACATCTCCCCATTGGTAGAACAGCTTAGCTGCATTCCACTGCAGCTTCTGGTTCCTTTTGTTGCCTACGATAGGAGAACGTCCACGGGACAGGCCTTTCTTAGTAATATTCACATGGTGGCCTTTCATCCACTCAGGCCAGTTGCCACGGTTACAGCGGTGAACAAAACGTGCACACTCAAGGAACAGGGCTGCTCTTGCCACCACAGGAGCTTCCTGAAAAGGTTGCAAAAAAAAAAATCACCTTAAATACAAATACAATCAAGAAGCTCTCCAAATACTGGAGGTTTGACTGCTTCACGAGCTTGCTATGGAGTCACACAGACTGAGCAATCTCTCCATCAAAGTCTGAAACCAGGATCTCTGCCCTCTGTGGATGAGTCTCACCTCTAGAGCTAAAACCAAGACCTACAAACACTGAAGTTATACCTAATCCAGCCACTAGAGGGGCAAAAAGAGTCACATTATAGGCAGCCTTCTACTTCACTATCTCTCTATAATCTTTTCTTTCAGAAACCCTATCACTGCCAAAAATGAGGAGCATGCTGCTGACACTTTTACTGGAGGAGCAAGTCAAGTTTTCTTTAGCACAAATGGCAGTATAGCCATATGAATCCCAGCTTTTGCATGTCATGATGAGTTTCTGTTTGTGCAGCTTTGGAGTGGAAGCCTGAATGGAGGCTTGCTGGAACTAGGAAAGGTAATATTTGTACTAATAACAATCAAATATGGAGGGTCAAAACCTTTACTGATGTCAATCAACAAAATTTTACTGGCCTAGCTTCACTGGCCTTAGCAGACATTAGACAATTTAGTCTTAAACTCAGCGTTAGGCATGAGTTTGAAAGTGATGGCCTTGATTATTTTTCAGGAAAAATTCCCCTCACCACTCGAAAGCACACTTTTCCTTTAATGGGAGAAATGATACTTAATGTAGCTGAATTTGTATTAAACAGCCCTGCAGGAACAGAGTCAGACCAATAAAGAGTGCTTCTGAAACTCCCTCTCAAACGTGTTTAAAAACGGACACCGCAATTTGTTTCTCTAGGGGTTTCTTAGACTTGGGAAGGAGCTCCCTTCCCAGCAGTCTACACTCTGTGAAAATAACATCTTTACAACCATGGAAAGTGATTAAAAGCAAATGGCCCTCCTCATTTCCTTTTAATTTCCCCTCTCTTTTCCTGCAGTTCTTGTAAGCAAAAATCCTTGTGGCGGATGGCTTGGAAAACCAACAGTATGACAACGTCCACAGCTCAGCTCTGAAAAGTTCTGTAACAGGGATTTCACAGAGCACAGACAGGTTCCATATATTTAGATGCTGGCAGTTTAATGAGACAATTTAAACAGGTCAGGATCTACCTATAAGGGGAGGCTCCTTAACTGTGGTTCATAAACAACAGATGATACCTGAGACCATGGAAGATGGATTTGTAGTAGGTCTGTGGAACATTATTAAGTAGTGCTTCCAGTAGTGCTTTAATCAGAAGTTCAAAGTAAGACATTTTGAACCAGTAGCCCAAAAGTTCAGCAGTTGCCTTAGGAAATTCTACAGTGCAGATAAGCTTACAGCCAGAAATGTCTCCTAACAGGACTGAAAAAAGTCACGCCTTTTTAGAGGACTGGCCAAAAAAAAAAAAAAAGTTTTGTCTATATTAACGAGAATACATATATGCTAATGGCTTGCTCACGCAGCAACCTGTTGCAGCTTTTTGTTCATGTTTTATTCAAATGATGGAAGAAAATATCAATCTTCTAACAATTCTCTTGAATAAGAATAACTTTACAGCTGACCCAAGATTCTGATCCAGAACGGCAGAAATCCAAAGTCAGATACTAAGTGGTAGCCAGAAACAAAGCTTGTATCTAGCACCTGGAAAAACCATTACAAATTACTCATTTCATTGCTGCATGAAATATGGAACACAAGATAAGTGCAGACTTTATTTAGTTCTCACAGAGTAAAATCTTAACCAGAGCTGGAGACGTGTAAGCACGGAGAAGATGAAGCCTCATTCTTAGGCTCCTTCTGTTTTAGTTCGGAATAAAATCACAATTTCTTACCATACAGGAATCTTGTGAAGATAAATGTTGTAAAGGTTATGGAAGCACTTAAATATTAAACTAAAGGAGAAGAGCAAAGGGGAGGAAGAATGTGTCCTGATACGGGAGTTCCAAATTCAAAAACACTTAAAAGACCCTGTGCGTGAAGGAGGATTTTCTCAACATCACGGGGCACAAGCTCCCTGTGATTGCTTACCTGAGGCTCAGAGCAATCTGAAGCAGCAGCAAGAGAAAGATGAAGATGTGACAGAATGGACAGGGATGGATTCACACCACAGAGAAACACATCACAAATGGAGAGAAATGAATCAGGCAGGCGATACATAGCTGAAAAGAACACAAGTTACCATGGTCACTGTTAAAACTCCACACAGCAGCAATACTCTCACAAGACTGCCCCTGCTCATGAAACCATTCATAAGTCTACTTTCTACATGAGAACTACCATGCCTTTTGGAAATTGTTTTTGCACTGTATAAATTGACATGACTAAGAATCCACCTTTTTCTTAACAATATTTCAAGTACTCCCATTGGAGCTTTTCAACGGATAACAACAGAAAAGGTAAAGACCTGGGTGGGGGAAGCATATATATAATGAATTTGGAATTTTACAGCATGACATTACTGTCCAAGTACGTCTGATTCTGGAGAGGTTTATGACCAAAGAGCTTTTAGGTCCAGTTTTCTCTTCAAGGACAATGAATTTTATAAGACTAATTTACCAGAGGTAATTTTCTTGTGCCCTTCCTTATCCTCTGCAAGGCACTTTGAGCAAAAATTCATTTCTAATGGCCCAATCTCTTCAGGAGAGGGGAAAAAAAAACAAAATAGCAGCAATCTACTTTGAAAGTAAATGAAGCAAATGCAAGTATTGTCAAAGATGCTGGATAGCTCTGCTCTTTGTCTAGCCATAAAGCAAGTCTGGCATGAGAAGTAGTTGAGGACGTATATGCAAGACAGGTCATGAGTGAATTATCAACCACTGACTAGAATTGCCTTTAAAAAGTTAGTTCAGTCTCTTCAGTTATGTCTAAAAAGGGTCAGGTAGAAGCCATGACACACCTCCTTGCTTCTGCTTCCGCTGATCCATAATGGAGGGCCTGTTCAGAGCAATCTCTGATTTCCTTCCAGGTCATATGCCCTCCTATGGGCTTATATTCCTCATACGGAAAAAGGGACAGGGGAACAATAGTCTTTCTAACATCTTTGGTATCATCAAGTTAGGACATTAGCAAGTAGCGCTGATCTTCCGGTTTAGGCTTAGCTTCTGTCCTCCCACTACTTGGCAGATCCTCCCAAACATAACCCAGCTGCAAAGCAGTGCCATTATGACATTTCAGCAAGGATAAGAGGTATACATGTTAGAATAGATTAGCTCACGTATCTTAGAGGACACATTGGAAGAGTATAATGAGGATAAACTTCACATGTGCTAAACTGGCCAAAGGAAAGCTCATATTTCTCCACCTTAGTCCTTAAACCAATCAGATGTACACTAGTCTAATTAGGATAGTCTTCAAAGAGAGTTTCCTCAGAGTATAAGAACGGTCCTTCCAATGTGCAGCAAGTCAAGCAAGCCTGACAGAAGCCCAGCATGAATGGACATGTTGCTCCTTACTGAACTCAAACACAAAAAGGAAATACACAGAAGGTGGAAGCAGGAAAAGGCTACTTGGGAGGAATACAAAGACCTTGCCCACTCAGGAAAGCCAAAGTTTAGCTGGAGCTGAAAGTAGTAAGGAGGGCGATTGGCAACAAGAAAGGTTTCTAAGTATATCATTAGGAAAAGGAAGACTAAAGAGAATGTAGGGGACAGGAGACCTAGTGACCAGCAACAGAGAAACAGCTGAGGTACTCAATGGTATTTTTGCCCATGTTCTCTACTGGTCAGCCTTGTCCTCAGGCTTTCCAGATCCCTGAGCCTCCTAGAAGGTTTTGCGGGAATGAAGAAATACCCACAGTAGAGAAAAAATTGTTAGGGATCCCTTAACCCACTTGGACTTACACATGTCCATGGAACCAGATGGGATGCATCCAAGGGTGTCGAAGGAGCTGGCTGATACTATTGTTAGGCAGTTATCATCTTTGAAAGATTATAGCAATTGGGATAGATTCCTGATGACTGGAAAAAGACAGACACCACATCCATCTTCAAGAAGGGCAAGGAGAAGGATTCAAGCAACTATAGGCCAGTCAGCCTCTCCTCAGTCCCTAGGAAGGTAATGGAGCAAATCCTTTTAGAAGTCATTTCTGGATGCAAGAAGGTGACAGGGAGCAGCCAGCATGGGTTTACCAAAAAAAGGCATATCCTGCTTCATTGCTTTCTACGACCAGATGACTCCTGCTGTGGACAAGGGAAGGGCAGTGAATGTTGTGTACCTTGATTTTAGCAAGGCTTTTTACACAGTCTCCCCTAGACTCCTTATCATCACACTGGTGAGCTATGGAGTGTTTAAGTAGCTGATTTCAGTAGCTAAGTTCAGTGAATTATGATCAGTGGTGCAAAGTCTAGCTAGTGGCCAGTAACTAGTATGATCAGTACAGTTTACTGTCTTCATTAACCACCTCGATGATGAGATGGAGTGCACTTTCAGCAAGTTTGTGGATGAGACCAGTTCGGGAGTAGCAGTCAATATGGTCGAGGGCAGGGCTGGGCAGGGCAGAGGACATTCAGAAAAGCCTGGACAGGCTAGAGAAATGGCCTGACCAGAACCTCATGAAGTTCAGCATAAGCAAATGCAGAGCCTTACAAGCGGGACGGAATAACCCCATGCAACAGTACAGCCTGGGAGCTGACCGTCCTGGAAGCCACTCTGTAGAAAAGGATCTGGGGGTCCTAGTGGACAAGCTGAACATGAGCCAGCAGCGGGCCCTTGCAGCAAAGGAGGCCAGTTGCATTCTGGGCTGTATTAGTATGAGCATAGCCAGAAGGTTCAGGGAAGTGATCCTTCCCTCTATTCAGCACTTGTGAGAGTACATGTAGAATACTGCATTCAGTTTTGGGCTCCCCCATAGAAGAAAGATATTGACATGCTGGAGCAAGTCCAGTGAAGGACCATCGAGCTGGCCACGGGGCTGGAGAACATAACATTGGAGGAGAGACTGAGAGAACTGGTTTTGTTCAGTCTCAAGAAGAAAAGGCTAAGGGAAGACCTTGTTGCATTCTACAACTACCTGATCAGAGAACACAGAAGGCAGGAGATCCATGGACAAAACATGGAGCCAGACTCTTCTCAGAGGTGCACAGTGACAGGACAAGAGGCAACAGACATAAGTTGGAACATGGGAAATTCCAATAATATATTGTTAAAAAAAAATTACCATGAGAGTGAACAAATACAGAGCAGGTTGCCCAGAGAGATTGTGGAATCTCCATCCTTAGAGGTATCAAAAATTCAACTGTACAAGTCCTTGAGAAATATTATGTAATTAAGACCTGTTTTGAGCAAGGGGCTGGACTAGATGACCTCTGAAGATCCCATCCAATCTAAATTATTCTAGGATACTTAAAGCAACATCTTTACACCAAGCCAGACAGTGGTTTGTTGGAACCCTGTGCAGAAACCTGACCACAAACTGAGATATTGTATCACTTGCCTTTCAACCTCCAAAGTTCTTATAAAGGGAAAGAGATTCAATTTTATTATTGCCAAGTCTGGATTTCAGCTGATGACAGGGATCAAACTGTCTGCAAGGTATTATAAATTGTCATTAAATGTTTGCTAAGCCATAAATTGCTTGTGGTTTTACAAAATTCAATCAAGAATGGATGCTGTTTCTGGGAAAATATGTTGCTACATAGTTTCTAATCCTAAAGCCACCCTCAGTTCAATGTATAAATAAATCATTATCTCCATAATGGATGCAACCTTTGTTTCACCAGTTTCTTTAAATCACTGGCAAATCCGTATAAACATCCAGACTAATCAAAGATCTTCAAGTCATTGTAAGAATGGCATTTCTTGTGAAAATGTGCATGAAAAAGCATGCTGAAAAAGCTTAAGAAAGAATTGAAATTGGAGCTGTTTTCCTTTACTTTTACTGCCATAGCAACTAGGCTGGGTAAAATGACTTAAGTAGCTTTTAATTTGCATCAAACCTGATTCCAACTATATTTCAAAAGCTAGAAGAGGGAAGTTTAAAAAAAAAAAAC